CCATCGCCCCGCCCCTCCCCCGAGGAGGCCGCGCCCCTTCCTCACCCCGCCCGCGCCGGCGCGGGCCCGCTCAGCCAGCCCAGGACCGTCCGCGTGCGCGTGCGCGTGCGCGTGCGGCTCTCTTTAGCAAAGCGGAGGAGCGAAGGCTGCTTTGAGGCCGCCTGCGGTTCCCCAGAACGCTCGGGTTCGCCCTGCAGGGCTCCCGCACCGCCTCAAAGCCGGGGCCCTCCGCCCCCCTTCCCCCAGTGCCTACTCCACTGAGCGCCACCGGGAACGCTGCAAAGTCAAACTCAGCTCATCTCAGCCCACACAAAGACCCCGGGATTTCAACCCCAGGAAGAAAAGTGCTGCCGTCAGCAGCTTGTAGGAAAGTGACAGAAGTGGGTGGGGCTGCCACCTGAATGAGCCGGGTTCTTGGCCCGATCTCAGATTTGATTTGGGGACTGGGCTCACAGGTGCGATGCACCCTTGGCCTGCTATCTCTGCTGGACCTTAACTCCCTGGGACAGGAAGGATCAAAGCAGCCTCATCTGAACGAGAAGCCTTGTAGGACAGGCTGGCGTCCGGCTTCACCCTAACTCCTCCTGGCTTCAAACACAAAGGACACAACACACCCGCTGTGGCTGAACCCGGCCTGTGGAATGGCTGGGACGCACCCCCTGGGCTGGCCCTTCACAGTGCACACCTGCACACACACACCTCCTGGCCATGGTAAGGAAGGTTTCAGCCCTGCCCCGAGGATAGGAAGCTAAATTAGGGAGAATCGCGGGATTGCCTCCTGGTAGTCCTTGGTTCCCCCAAATGCAGGAAACCCCAAACAGGAAAGCACTCACCACTCACCTGTCATTATTCCGCACCAGCCTTAGGTTCAGTCACGTGGGAACCGTTAACCTCGGTTTCCTTCCAAAACCTGTTCTTCCAGCCACCTAAATTTGACACATGGATTGGGACCAGCAGATGGTGTAATGCTCATGTCACTGGACCCCTACGTAGTTTGAAGTGGGAGTTTGATTCCCAGGCCTGAGGCTTAAGCTCACACCAGGTGCGTGTGTGTGCGTGTGTTCAAAATCCCTAGAGGAAAATGAAGGAGAAGGGATTGAAGGGTGGCCTTTCCCACTAGGGGGTGATTTCTGTCTCTCTGTCTCTCCAGTGAGCACACACGTCCTATAGCAAAAATCTCTAAAAATATTAAAATTTTGACACAGGCGTGGTGTCTCCCACCTGTTCCCTCATGCCTTTCTTGGGGCTATCATTTCTTTTCGCCACTCTCAGTGTTCACAGCCTCAGCTGACCCAGTGTAGAAGCTTTCTAAAGTCCCCTTTGTTTACATGGCTAGAAAATTAATTTTCCCAAAGCCTGCCTTTAACCATGAGAGTTTGCTGCCCAAACCTAGACCAACACATACCACACTATCACCACAACCCTCCACTCTCCCGAGACCTTAGCCTAGGTGGTAACATGCAAAGCCCTTAGGCTGCCATTTTCAAGGCCTTTTGTGATGTGGTTCCATTATGGCTCATGTCCCTGTGAAACCCATTTGCCACTAGGAATCCAGAGATTCGCTCTAATAATCTGTTAGTCTACAATCCCTATGTCCCCAACACTCCATGCCTCCCCGGCTGGTCTCCTGTGCCCTTGGGAAATTCCAACCAAGAATTACCATGCATTTGGAGCCCACAGGTGGCATGATGGTTAAGGTGCTGGACTCCCGCAAGGCTGAGTATGGTTTGAATCCCAGACCTGGCGGCTTGCTTTTTCACTTTCCCTCTTTCTCTGTCTCTCTGTATCTCTCTTATCAAGTTAAAAAATAAGAACAATAATAGTAATAAATAAATAAAATAAGTCATTTTTTATAAAGAGAATTATACATTCTTGTGGTATCAACTTTTCTCCTTATCCTCATAGAAACACAGTTGGAGGAGCCTCTCAAGTGTTGACTACTTGTTCCTTCACACCCTGAGCCCCTCAGAGCCAGGAAGTGAGGCAGGTGACTTCTTTGCTCACCATTGCTCCTTCCAAACGATTCTCTCCCATTCTCCTTTAAAACCCTCAGCTGCCACTAAATTGATGCCATTGGGCGTGGCACCCTCCACTCTTCCAGTTTCAGGTCTCTCTCTGGTCCATTGAAGACTTTGGTTCTTGGCTTAACAATATTGCTGAGGAGCCCTTTCCTGTCTCCATTCCTGATATGTTCAGCATCCAGGTGGATGGTCCATCTGTCTGTCTCTCGGTAGCTCCCTTCCAAAGGAAAGTACTAGCACATGTCATCACTTGAAACTGCACCACCTGCGAAATCTGTAGTGAAGGCACCCCACCTGCCCTGCAACTCCTGGACAGCCTACACTTCACTTGCTCGAGAAATCCATTTCTGCAAGGCTGCCTCTGAGCTGCCCACTCCACCACCTGCTCACAGTCCCCTTGCAGCCCACCCCACTGGATGTCTTCCCTTGCCTCTTGACTAGATTAGACGCCGTGGATTCTCATGCTTCACTTACTGACTTGCCCATCTTCCCAGATGCTGGTGAACTTCCGCAGTCGGCATCCCTCAACTCATGATTTGAATCATGGAGAATACCTGCACAATCACATTGATAAGATAAGCCCTAAATGAGCGCTCACCCCTGGTCTAAAACTGACCACATGTCCCCAGGCTTTTTTTTTTTTTTTTGCTATAGGGCGCGTGCGCTTGCCAGGAAGACAGAGAGAGACAGAGAGACAGAAAGCGAGAAATCACCCCCCAAGGGGGATGGCCACGCCGCAATCCCTTCTCCTCCATTCTCCTCTCGGGATCTTGGGCATGCACGCACACATGCCCGGTGTGAGTTTAAGCCACCGGGTCCGGGACGTGAACCACGGTCGCCTATGTGGGAGTCCAGCAACATACCCATTACACTAACTGCTGGTCCCTTTGTCCCCATTCTCGACAATCACATCTGAACAGTCATAAACACTCATCAAGAAAACAGTTTCTCTTCTTCTTTAGAGGCATCTTCCAGAACGTTCTGACCAAATTAGAGCAACAGAACGTAAATGTTTCAGTACCTGCCTAAAAGTAGCATTTTTAGTCCAATAATAGGATGCACCTGTTATGGTGGTTGAAATGGTGGCATTTCGGTTTCTGGATGTTCCGTGGGGTTCTCTTCCCAGAGTGACAACACAAGGGGTTCGTAGGACCCTCAGCTGTAAAAAAGGAAAGCTGCAACTTGGTCAGTTACTAGCAACGTCCCCCATTTCAGTTTTCCTGGGGCTTTGTAAATGTTTGCACACGGGGGCTTGCCAGGAACCTCTTGGCTGTTGGTTGCTGTCAGGGTAGGGACAGCCCTCTGAAGACTGTTGATTCGCAATAACAAGACCAGGCAGTGTTTTATCACTAGTAGTAAGACTGACCTCCATGCCTATTTTCTTGGGACAAAGCTGTTATTTTAGGGTTCTCTCTCTATAAAGCCATCCCTTTGAGTAGCAAAATGTGGCGTTTCAGTCATTTCTTCATACATTCATGTAACAAACCTGTATTTAATGTCTGCCCTGCAACAGACCTGCCCTCATTCCTTCCTCCCTCAATACCTCACAGTTGCTAATCCCTCAGCTGAACACCCTCCCTCTGAACAGTTGCAGGTGTGAGTCCCTCACATCCAGGACTTCTTTACTCAAAAGCTCTGTCCCCAGTAAGACCCTCATTTAGAAGGCTCTTTCCACTGCACCCTAATACTTCAGACCCCCTTCCCTGCCTTGTTTTCTCTTTAGCATTTACCAGTCACCAACATTCGGGTTACCAGAAGAGCCACGATGTAGTGTTGCATAGAAAAATATGTCATGACTTTTCCAATGACCCAACAGGACTTCTCTCATTTAGTGGTTATTTCCCTACTACAATGAAAGTTTCATTAGGATAAGGGTTTTTTTTTTTTTTCTGTTTTAGCCATTTCTAGATCCTCTATAACAGTGTCTTCCTCAAACAAGACACAGTAAACATGTGTTTAGTGAATAGCCTGGCCGCTAAGTACACAGAATGGAAGAGGAGATGTAATCCCAGCGAGCAAAGGAGACCAGACATTTTCCATGTGAAGTATCACCCGACCTTCATATAACATTTCACGAAGTGTTCCTCAGAGCAAGACACTACAATAAGAAGGAGTCTGTGATCCAATAAGAGAAACATTGCATAAGATACCTCTAGAGGGACCAGCGGATGAGGTAATGGTTATGTCATTGGACTCCCATGTAGTTGACCATGGTTCAAGTCCTGGACCCTGTGGCTTAAAACTCACGCCAGGTGTGTGTGGGTGTGTGCGTGCATGCCCAAAATTCTGAGAGGAGAACAGAGAAGGGACTGTGTGCGGCCATCCCCCCCAGGGGGTGATTTATCACTTTCTGTCTCTCTGTCTATCTTTGTCTCTTTGACAAATGCATGCATCCTATAGCAAAAACCTCTCTCTAAAAAAAAAAAAAAGAAAAAGATACCTTTAGCAATTCAGAGGGTGCATTCATAGTTCATAGAGAAAATTTTGGAGAACTCTCCATTTACCTTGCCAACCCCTAACGATTCTTCAAGATTCAGTGTATAAACCTTTGACATTCTTTCAGGCTGCCAGCTTCTTTAAACACCCACCCTGTATTTGTGGAGCTTCTCGCCTAACCTCCCCAGTTAGAATAGAGCCCAGACCACTCAATCCTAATGGGGTGAGACTTCCACTGGAAGCTAGATGTGCGAAGAAGCAGGGGTCATGCAAACTTTCACTCCTGCAAAAGTAACAGCAGGGCAGAGGCCTCGGAGCTTCCACTAGTCAAATCTAATGTTCTATCCCAGAGGTGGAACAGCAGAGCTTGTCTCTCACAATTGTGGTCACCTTTGTACTCTGGGAATCTTCCTCACTAGAGTCATAGATCACAGTCCTTCACTAATCACTGCAGTCTGGACCTCTGTGTCTGACACGGACTTTAGCATTCCACACACATAGACCTCACAGGGCACTTTCTGAGTGTTTTAGTCTACGTCAGCTGCTATAACAAAATACCATAGACTGGGTGGCTTATAAACAACAGAGAGGTTTTACTTACAGTTCTGGAGACCGGAAGTCCAAGATTGAGGTGCCTGCAAAGCCAACATCTGGTGAGGGCCTGAGCATGCTGAGTGCACATGTTTTTCTGGTTCATAGATGGTGCCTTTTCACTGCGTCCTCATGTGTTGGAAGTGGGGAGGCAGCACTAGGGAGCCTCTTTTTCTTTTCTTTCTTTCTTTCTTTTTTTTTTTTTAAGAGAGATTTTTGCTATAGGTATGTGTGCTTGCTAGAGAGACAGAAGACAAGAAATCACCCCCAGGGGAGATGGTCACACTACAAACCCTTCTCCTCCATTTTCCTCTTGGGATTTTGGGCACACACGCACACATGCCTGGCATGAGTTTCAAGCCTCCAGGCCTGGGACTTGAACTGCAGTCAGCCATATGGGAGTCCAGCAACGTAACCATTATGTCATCTGCTGGTCCCAAGGGAGCCTCTATTAGAAGGGGCACTGATCCCATTCTTGAGGGCTCTATTCGGGCCTAATCACTTCCTAACAGCACCACCTCCTCATACCACCACATTTCAACATATGAAATTAGGGAGTATGGGGTAGGGGGTGGGGGATGTGGACAAACACTCAGATCAAAGCACTGGGTTCATCTCACAGCCCGACCTTCTCTCCAGAACTCAGCTCTCCAAGCCTAGAGATTCCCACAGGCCAGAACGATCCCAGGAGATCATGTCATTTCTTCAAAAATGGGTTTACTTCTGTTATTGTGACAATTTGCTTTCTTAGTTTTCAGTATAAACGGATGCTTTTCCTAAATTTATAATTCTTATTTTCCAGGAATTGGTGGGAAATAACTGTTTAGAAATAAATTGTGTCCCAGAACCAAGCACCATCACCTAAAAATCCGAAAACATCTTTTTCAAATGAGAACATCATTTTCTAGGTTTATCTATTAAAGCAGATTTATCCCTCCTTTGCTTTTAAGCCACGTGGACCTTGCAAATAGCATATCCTAAACTTGAGAACGGTTAGTCCTTCTCGCATGGTGGATTAAATGGGTTGTACGTGATCGCCTTCACAGTTAAAGAGAGCCCATTTGTGAATTGGTTCTAAGGATTCAGGTAAGGACTGGCTGAGTGGTGCAGCCGTAATGTGCAGCTCAGTGAAGCTGAATCCATGTGAAGGATCACTGGTTCGGTTCTCTGGTCAACCTGGACACACCAGGCATGCGTGTCCTCAATCCTGGTTGGTTAAGAAGGTCGGGGGGAATGACAGCAGGAGACATTACCAAGGATGTTTGTCTTTCTCCCTATCTATCTCTCACTCTTAGGAATGAAATATATTTTAAAGAGAAAAAAAAATAGTTCAAGTGAGAGTTAATGCCCTTATTATCCAGTGAAGGACTTCTTAGCCCTATTGTACAAATAGCTACTTTAGAAATGTCATATCACTTATTATATGTACACTAATTTAGAGTAAATTAACAGCTATCTCTGGGGGGAAGAAAAAAAACAAAAAACTCCTCAATGCTATACAAGTAAATGTCAAAAGAAGCATTCGTTTATTTCTCTTAACTTCCAAAGAATGATGCTTCATTTAACATATATATTCCTTCTTTAATGAGCAGTATCTAAACCTCCCTTGCTTGAGTAAAAACTCCTGACATCAAAGACAATGAAACTAACTCTAAAATTGTTTATAAACAAAGCCCCATATGGAAAACTTTGAAGGATGTCAAAAAAAAAAAAGAAAAAAAAAGGCACCTTACACAAGTATGTTCTTTCTTCTTGCCTTAAATTTTTAGTAAAAAAATAAAAAAATCTCCTTTTAAAGAATTTTAGTCCATATTTAACCTACCCTGCGTATGTCATCATCTTTCTTTTTGAGAGTTTCCTTTTCTTTTTTTTTTTTTTTTTTTTTTTGCTATAGGGCACATGCACTAGCCAGAAAGAGAGACAGAAAGCAAGAAATCACCCCCTCAGGGTGAATGGCCACACTGCAATCCCTTCTCCTCCATTCTCCTCTCGGGATCTTGGGCACGCACGCACACGTGCCCGGCATGAGTTTAAGCCACCGGGTCCAGGCCTCAAACCGCAGTCGACTACATGGGCGTACAGCAACATAGTCATTACGCCAACTACTGGTCCCCCATCATCATCTTCTTTACCCTCTCTTTTTAATCCATTTGTATAAAGACCAAAGGTTTAGACCGTTTAAGAACTGGTTGCACTGAGGCAACAAAATGAACTTAAGGTCTAAATCTTCAGGCTTAAAAATAACAGGAGAACTGTGAAGGCATGTACCTTTCGGCCTACGTTAAAAATTAGTCCTTGAGGGCCAGCAAGTGGCATAGAGGGTAAGGCACTGGACTCCCACATGGCAGATCATGGGTCAAGTCCTAGACCCAGTAGCTTGAAAATCACACTGGGTACGTGTGCATATGTGTCCATAATCCAAAGGGGAGAATGGAGAAGAAGAGACTGTTCTATGGCCATCTCCACCAGGGGTTGGTTTTTCACTTTCCTTCTCTCTCTCTCTTTCTGGCAAGTGCCTGCACCCTAAGGCAAAAACCTAGAAATTAAGAAGAACAACAACAAAAATTTGGCCTCAAAAATGTGAACATCTAATGTTTAGTCAGTTGTGCCTTCTTACTCAGTGTTTCACAACACACATCTCCAGCCTCACACCCATAGGTCAAACATAATGTAAAATCACCCAATGCATTTAATGATGGACAAACCACAGTGATAGAACCCTAGCTTTTCTGCTCCATTAAAAACAACCCCTGCATTTTTCATAAACACAGTGGTGTGATTTCTGTCCTTCCAGCCCACTCCTGACACCCACAGTAGCATCTTCCCTTGTAACAAAGGACAAAAGTCAGGCAGGATGTTGCATTGCTGCGTGGAGCCAGGCAGCTGCTGGGGACACCCCTTCCCCCCAGGGAGAGCTGCACGTCGACAGTGGTGGTGGCTCACATCTGGATCACCGAGGCTTGCCGAGTCTGGAATTTCTGACTTACGGGACTGTCCCTGCCAAAGACTTTTGGCAAAGTTTTGTCTGCAAAATACACACAATCATGAACCCCTCATATGAGAAATGCCCTACACCCTGGAAACTTCTGTTGGCAGAAGTAAAGGAAGAAATCCACTCTCCCTCCCACCAAAAAAAAAATGTTTCTACTACAATTCTAAACTTTGTTCCTTTTGTCTTGTGTACAGTAAGAGCTGCGGGCTGTTGTTTTGTTTTGTTTTGTTTTGTTTTGGAGAGGGTTTTTTTTTTTTTTTCTATAGGGCACATGCACTCGCCAGAAAGAGAGAAGAGAAGAGACAGAAAGCAAGAAATCACCCCCAGGGTGGATGGCCACGCCACAATCCCTTCTCCTCCATTCTCCTCTTGAGA